CCCTATTGGCCAGTAAGAGTTGATTAGACTTTTTAGACAACATCAAGTGGGGGATCAGTTTAGGAGTTAAATAATAACAAAACTGAGCCCTATTGGCCAGTAAGAGTTGATTAGACTTTTTAGACAACATCAAGTGGGGGATCAGTTTAGGAGTTAAATAATAACAAAACTGAGCCCTATTGGCCAGTAAGAGTTGATTAGACTTTTTAGACAACATCAAGTGGGGATCAGTTTAGGAGTTAAATAATAACAAAACTGAGCCCTATTGGCCAGTAAGAGTTGATTAGACTTTTTAGACAACATCAAGTGGGGATCAGTTTAGGAGTTAAATAATAACAAAACTGAGCCCTATTGGCCAGTAAGAGTTGATTAGACTTTTTAGACAACATCAAGTGGGGGATCAGTTTAGGAGTTAAATAATAACAAAACTGAGCCCTATTGGCCAGTAAGAGTTGATTAGACTTTTTAGACAACATCAAGTGGGGGATCAGTTAGGAGTTAAATAATAACAAAACTGAACCCTATTGGCCAGTAAGAGTTGATTAGACTTTTTAACAACATCAAGTGGGGGATCAGTTTAGGAGTTAAATAATAACAAAACTGAGCCCTATTGGCCAGTAAGAGTTGATTAGACTTTTTTAGACAACATCAAGTGGGGGATCAGTTTAGGAGTTAAATAATAACAAAACTGAGCCCTATTGGCCAGTAAGAGTTGATTAGACTTTTTAGACAACATCAAGTGGGGGATCAGTTTAGGAGTTAAATAATAACAAAACTGAGCCCTATTGGCCAGTAAGAGTTGATTAGACTTTTTAGACAACATCAAGTGGGGGATCAGTTTAGGAGTTAAATAATAACAAAACTGAGCCCTATTGGCCAGTAAGAGTTGATTAGACTTTTTAGACAACATCAAGTGGGGGATCAGTTTAGGAGTTAAATAATAACAAAACTGAGCCCCATTGGCCAGTAAGAGTTGATTAGACTTTTAGACAACATCAAGTGGGGATCAGTTTAGGAGTTAAATAATAACAAAACTGAACCCTATTGGCCAGTAAGAGTTGATTAGACTTTTTAAACAACATCAAGTGGGGGATCAGTTTAGGAGTTAAATAATAACAAAACTGAACCCTATTGGCCAGTAAGAGTTGATTAGACTTTTTAGACAACATCAAGTGGAGGATCAGTTTAGGAGTTAAATAATAACAAAACTGAACCCTATTGGCCAGTAAGAGTTGATTAGACTTTTTAGACAACATCAAGTGGGGGATCAGTTTAGGAGTTAAATAATAACAAAACTGAACCCTATTGGCCAGTAAGAGTTGATTAGACTTTTTAGACAACATCAAGTGGGGATCAGTTTAATAACAAAACTGGATTAGACTTTTTAGACAACATAAATTTAGGAAATAAAAAAACTGAGCCCTATTGGCCAGTAAGAGTTGATTAGACTTTTTAGACAACATCAAGTGGGGGATCAGTTTAGGAGTTAAAAAATAACAAAACTGAACCCTATTGGCCAGTAAGAGTTGATTAGACGTTTTAGACAATATCAAGTGGGGATCAGTTTAGGAGTTAAAAATAACAAAAGACTGAACCCTATTTTAGCCAAAACTAAAGAGTTGATTATTTTTTTTCAAGTGGGGGATCAGTTTAGATTAAAAAAAAATTGAACTCTATTGGCATTAAATCAGATCATAGACTGGACTGATTTCAATAGATGTAATTTCCTTAATTTGTCATCTATTGCAACGGCTCATGCTTGTATTCGTTTTATTTTTTCACAGAAATAAAGGAAAAGACAAAATCCCAATCAAGCTGGAAAAAAAAAACAAAAGAAATAAGAACAAAAACTTTTTCAAAATATGTGACAGAAGAAAAGTATCAAAAAAAAAAATTTTACGAAAGATGAGTGTATTTTCTGATTACCCCTCAAAATTTCAATCGATGGTTACCTTCAAAAGATTAACAATAATAATAGTATTATTATTATTATTATTATAAAACTACAGATAAGAAGAAAATATTAAAGAAAGCTGGAAGAAGAAGTTCAATTGGTTGTATTTACAGCAATGAAACAGAAGAGAAAGAGTATCATGAAAAAAAAATATTAAAAAAAAAAAAAAACCTCAAGCAGAGAACCACTTCAGCTCCCCTCATTTTACATACCAGGTAATCTAGAGAATTAAAGTAACTCCTCCCTATTTTATATCTAGAGAAAAGTTATTGAATAATAATCAAATGAAGGTTGGTAATGAACAATAATACTTAGGACAAGAACAACACATATAAGATTTGCCAGCAGTGCATAGAAGTAGTAAACTTCTAGAAGGGTGTCAAGTGAATTCTACACTGAATCTCCAACTGCAGGATATCTACCAACCACCCCACATGGTCAGATGTGGCATAAGGCTGGATTTAACGTGAGCTGTTAGAGCTTGTAGGCCCAGCCCAAAATTCCCCATAGACCCCATATAAAACAGTGTCAGGTAGCTGTTTCCTAAGACGAGACTCTACCCAACATAGCCCCGTCTGGGGATCCTCTCTGCCCGAAGAGTTTGGCCAGCACAGCTGGAGATGAATCTTCAACTGCAGACCAACATACAGTATTTACTACTGTATTTATTTGAATGGAGACATAACTATTATTGTTAATAGGTATGCCACAACATATATATGATAGACTCTCCTGTCTAACAATCATTTTTACAAGATGGGAGAGTATATCATACATAAAATAGGGAGTTACTTTTCACTCAACCTGTATATGTAGTTCAAAATTTACTATATTTGAGAAAACAGTGTTCATGATTGGAAATAGATGATTTAGACAGTGTGGAGATAGGAATAAACACTGAATGGGGACTGTCAGTTTTATGCCTTGTTGCAATGTTCAGGCTTGGTCAGGCAACAAGGCATAAAACTGACAGTCACCATTCAGTGTTGATTCCTATATCCTTTGTGTATATATGTTGGTTGGTCATTTGATTTTATGATATTTCACCACTTGTTGAGGTATTTAAAATTGATTTTTTCTTGTACAGAACACCCAGTGAGAATCAAACTCAATAGTAATAATCAACCAGACTAGATTTGCTAAATATTACCCTATGGTAACAGTTGGTTGGTTGATTTTATAACGTCAACCCTTTTTGAGTTTTTGTATGGGGCACCTGGTGAGAATCAAACTCATTACTCAGTAGTAATGGTCAATCAGACTTGTTTCATTAACCATTATCCCATGCCAAGTGTTGGTTGGTTGTTTTTTATGCCATGTGAATCCTTGTTGAGTTGTTTAATGGTGAATTTTTGTATGGGGCACCTGGTGAGAATCAAAGTTGCTGCCCAGTTGTAATGGTCAACCAGTCTAGCCTAGTTAACCATTACCTCATGCCAGTTGTTGGTTGGTTGGTTGGTTGATTTTACAAAATATCAACCCTTGTTGGGTTATTTAATGCTGAATTTTTGTATGGAGAGAGATGTATGCTAAGGACAAAGAAAGAGAGAGAGAGAGAGATTTGTAAGGATAGAGAGAGAGAGATGTGCAAAGATGGAGAAAGAGAGAGAGAGATATGTGTAAGGATAGAGAAAGAGAGAGAGATGTGTAAGGATAGAGAGAGAGATGTGCAAGGATGGAGAAAGAGAGAGAGAGATGTGCAAAGATGGAGAAAGAGATGTGTGCAAAGATGGAGAAAGAGAGAGAGAGAAATGTGTGCAAAGATGGAGAAAGAGAGAGAGAGAAATGTGTGCAAGGATGGAGAAAGAGAGAGAGAGATGTGTGCAAGGATGGAGAAAGAGAGAGAGAGATGTGTGCAAGGATGGAGAAAGAGAGAGAGAGATGTGTGCAAGGATGGAGAAAGAGAGAGAGATGTGTGCAAGGATGGAGAAAGAGAGAGAGACGTGTGCAAGGATGGATAGAGAGAGAGAGATGTGTGTAAGGATGGAGAGAGAGAGAGAGATGTGTGTAAGGATGGAGAGAGAGAGATGTGTGTAAGGATGGAGAGAAAGAGATGTGTGTAAGGATGAAGAGAAAGAGATGTGTGTAAGGATGAAGAGAAAGAGATGTGTGTAAGGATGAAGAGAGAAAATTGTTTTAGGATAAAGAGAGAGAGAGAGAGACAGATGTATAAGGATGAAGAGAGAGAGAGAATCGTGTAAGGATGAAGAGAGAGAGAGAATCGTGTAAGGATGAAGAGAGAGAGAGAATCGTGTAAGGATGAAGAGAGAGAGAGAATCGTGTAAGGATGAAGAGAGAGAGAGAATCGTGTAAGGATGAAGAGAGAGAGAGAATCGTGTAAGGATGAAGAGAGAGAGAGAATCGTGTAAGGATGAAGAGAGAGAGAATCGTGTAAGGATGAAGAGAGAGAGAATCGTGTAAGGATGAAGAGAGAGATAGGCTGCGAGATGTGTACCAAGGATGGAGATGTGTGCCAAAGGGAGGTAGAATGAGAAAGAGGTGTGAAAAGAGGAAAAGAAGAGAGGTAGCCCAGTCGAGAAGGAGAGATAATTGAGGAAAAAAAGAGAAGAGAAGGGGAGACTTGTGGGGGAGGGGGGGTCAGAAAAAATAAAAGAGACATGTGAAGTATGAGAACTCAGAAGGCAATTATGAGGAAACGAGGGTGTGGTTACAACAGAGAAACAAACACGAAAGAGGATGAGACGATGAAAGCATGTCAAAAATAATGAACCATTTCTTTAAAAATTGTACCTTCATTAATCTTTGGTGAACATTGTGGCATAAGAGGATGGGGGGGGAGTTCATGTGAGTGTAACCAGAAAATTAAAACCTTCCCTGCCTCAACTCTCTTCACATTCACGCTTCCCACTCATATCAAAAGATGGGGTGTGGGTGTAAATATGAAAAAACTTTTTTTTTTCTTTTCTTTTTAAAATCATTGCTCTTAACCCTTTTCCGACAAGGAATGACCTTCACAGGTGACTGACATCAGTTCTGAAATGTCCTCCCGACTTTTGAGAGTCATTATGTATTGATGGGAACCACATTAGTGTTTCTTTGGGGAGAGGAAAAGGAAGTAGGAGGATGAAGAAAAAGAAAGAGAAGAGGTGAGAGAATAGGAGAAAGAAAGAGAGAAAGAAGAGGTGAGAGAATAGGAGAAAGAAAGAGAGAGAGAAGAGGTGAGAGAATAGGAGAAAGAAAGAGAGAGAGAAGAGGTGAGAGAATAGGAGAAAGAAAGAGAGAGAGAAGAGGTGAGAGAATAGGAGAAAGAAAGAGAGAGAGAAGAGGTGAGAGAATAGGAGAAAGAAAGAGAAAGAGGTGAGAGAGAAGAGGGAATTGAGAGAGAGAGAGAGAGAGAAGAGGGAATTGGAGAGAGAGAAGGGAATTGAGAGAGAGAGAAGAGGGAATTGAGAGAGAGAGAGAGAATTGGAGAGAGAGAGAGAGAAGAGGGAATTGAGAGAGAGAGAAGAGGAAATTGGAGAGAGAGAGAGAGAGAAGAGGGAATTGGAGAGAGAGAGAGAAGAGGGAATTGGGAGAGAGAGAGAAGAGGGAATTGGGAAGAGAGAGAGAGAGGGAATTGGAGAAGAGAGAGAGAAAGAGGAAGAGGGAATTGGAGAGAGAGAGAGAAGAGGGAATTGGAAGAGAGAGAGAAAGAGGGAATTGAGAGAGAGAGAGAAGAGGGAATGAGAATTTCAGCTTATATTTTTATTAGACAAATTCACAAATTCTTTGGTTATGTGATTTAATAAAACATTATAGGGTTGTTTATAATATTAATATCATTGCTGATATTTATTATTTAATTACAAATATTCATATTGCTATGGAGTGTAAGAAAGATATAACCTCAGGAAAAAAACCCACATATTGTAAAGTTATTGTGTGATGAGAAACAATCAAGAAAGAAATTGTAAACATTAACAAGATAATAACAAAAAAACTTGCATTAAAATGACAGAAAAATTTCAGAAAAATTAAGTGAGAAAATATTTGAAGCAGCTGGTGTTGTGAATGTAAACAGATAAAAGATGCAGAATGTTAAGAACATCGGCTACTTTTTCCAAACTACCATCTTTGAGTAAACATTGCATGTAAGTTCAGTGAAGAAATATGTGAAAACTGATTGTAATTCTTCATGATTATATAGAACTATATTGGTTGAACCTGATGATAATAGTTAATCAATACAACTTAGAAAAAAAACAGGGTTGTAGGTGGAGTAATGATTTAGACTAGTATTATAGGCTGCAAAATTATAAAAGATAAATACAGAAAATTATTTAAGTTTTTAGACAAAACATTTTCTGAGTGGCACATGTCCAAACTGAGAAGCTGTAAACTTGAATATGTTCATACAAGACAATTCTCCTTCACATTCTACAAAGTTGACTGTTGCCGATTTTACCAAAAAAAAAAAAAAAAAATTAAGTGTAGCCTAGTCTCCCCAGATATTAATTCAGTAGAAAACATGTCATTGATAATCAAGGGATGTATAGCAGAATAGAAAGACAATATTCAAGTATAGATTTCTGGGACACAAAATCTGCACATAATGTTAAACAGTAGAAAAATTAACAAAATTTGTGATTCAAAATATGAAGAATATAGAATGTAACAGAGCCTATATTAGAGGATATTGTGCTAATCAAAATTTATATATCTATACATTTTGGATTTATTTAATAATAAAAATGTATGTTGCAATTTGTTTATATAATTAAACCTAACGTCCCCACCACAACAAATTATCAGTATTTTTAATATGGATGAATGTAAACTGATATGTCCTGAAAACTTTCCCAATATCACTTCTGTAGAACTGCGTTTTTGTTGCCTCAAGTCTCTTCCTCATCTGTGAGGAGGACTGTCAAGTATTCACTGCTATATAGGATGAATGAAATAAAAAAAAAAAAAAAAAAAAAATTTCTCATTCATCATAAAATCTGACAGTGTCATTACTTTCTTGTCCTATGCATTAAGCAGCAAAACCATGATAAAAGTTGTTCTATTGATCATACCCTTTATAGATTTCTAAGCAATGTTTGACTTCCAGATGTATGCCATATTATCAATGCAGGAGGTGGCATCAAGGATAGAAGTATGAAATATTGTTCATATGAATATATCTTGAAATTGTTACCAACATTGGATGGTTAATACCAAATTAATTGAAAAAAAAAATTTAATAGCATAATATATTCTGATATGTTATATGCTTATGAATGTTTATTTTATTCATCAGCTAACAAAGTGTTATATTGTTGGTTCATTGCTGACTAAGATGCACATGGGTCCTATAACTCCCATGTACATCTGCTTTGTAGTTTGCATTTAATTATTTTATAGCATTATTTTGCTATCTTTTTTCTCTTACCAAGCATTGTTTGATATTTTTACTAAAATAATGCAAAACATCTGTCATTAGCTTCCAGAAATTGTTCAGTTGTCCCTCTTCTAGTCACTTTCTAGGGTAATATCATGATTTTGTTAAAGTGTAATTTCCTTTTCCACAGGAAGAAAGGAAATATTAAAATGGGAAGTAACTCTTAACCTTTTCTTAAATATTTACATGTTTTAATGAGTGTTATGGTTCTGTTAAAAGGTTTGCATAGATGTCACTATCTTGTCTGGGTTCAGAAGAGCAACTGAAGACAGTCTATTTTTCTTTTAATCTTTTTATTAGCTTTTAAAATAATTTTTTTCTATTAAAGTTAAAATAGCCTTTGTATCATTATAAATATTATTTCTGGTATCATATATTATTTTCATTTATTATTTTTTTCTTCTATATTTCTATCTTGCATTTTCTTTTCACTTAGATTTGTTGTTTAGCTTTATATCAAATTTCATTAAAAAAAATGAAACTCTATGCATCATCTTTTGGCTGAAAATCTCCATCAGAATAAAACCAAATAAACCACTTCCATTAAATGCTATACTAATCAGGTCAAAGTATGTTCATCCTTGTTATTTTTATATGTGTAACAACCAAGATCAGGATGTTAGGTTGAATAGCATCTATCTATCCTTACCATCATTATTATTATCCTTATCATTATTATTATTATTATTATCCTTTCATTATTATTATTATCCTTATCATCATTATTATTATTATCCTTTCATCATTATTATTATTATCCTCATCATTATTATCCTTATCATCATTATTATCCTTATCATCATTATTATCCTTATCATTATTATTATCATTATCGTCATTATTATTATTATCCTTATCATCATTCATTTATATTATTATCCTTATCATCATCATTTATATTATCCTTATCATCATCATTTATATTATTATCCTTATCATCATCATTATTATTATTATCCTATCATCATCATTATTATCCTTATCATCATCATTATTATTATTATCCTTATCATTATTATTATTATCCTTATCATCATTATTATTATCCTTATCATCATTATTATCCCTTATCATCATTATTATTATTATTATCCTTATCATCATTATTTATTATTATCCTTATCATCATTATTATTATTATTATCCTTATCATCATTATTATTATTATTATTATCCTTATCATTATTATTATCATCATCATCATTATTATCTTTATCATCATCATTATTATCTTTATCATCATCATTATTATCTTTATCATCATCATTATTATTTTATCATCATTATTATCTTTTATCATCATCATCATTATTATCTTTATCATCATCATTATTATTATCTTTATCATCATTATTATCATTATTATCCTTATCATCATCATTATTATCCTTATCATCATCATTATCCTTAACATCATTATTTTATTATTATTATTATTGTTGTGTATGATACCCTAATTTACATAAGTGGAGTATTAATATTATATAAATATGGGTTGGTACCGGAAGACGACGGAAGATTAAGAGATCAAATCCAGAGACTCTGCCCGATCATGCGACTTAGTCAACCCATTCTGCAGGAACAGTCTTCCAAGAATATACCAAAACTACCTGTAAATATTGTGTACCTTTTTTTCATTGTTTCAATACATTTTGTTACGACATTTTGTGTTGTATTATTATTATTCCATGCTTATTCAAGCTTCAACAATGGCGATTTGGTATAAAGAACTTTACGTTTCAGAAAAAAAAAAGAATTAATAATTGATAGCCTTCAATACTTGGGACAAGTGGAAGAACCCAGGCTGAAAAAAATCATTAATTAAAAGTCAAACATCTAATGGAACGGAAAAGTTCTTCTGAAGTTTGGACAGTTAAAACTAGTTAAAGGACGACTAAAAGCTTAAAGGAAACGCTCACTCAGAAAAATCTGAAAAAAACAAATAACAAAAAAAAAAAAAAAAAATGCTGGCCGACTAAAAAGAAAAAAAAAAAATGCTGGCTGACTAAAAAAACATGGATGGAAATAAAAGGATAAAAATACTAATGTGGTCGACTTTGAAAGGTAAGCGAACTTGTAAAAAAAAAAAAATTGTTTATTTTTTTTTGTTTGGTTGCTGTTTCAATATTTTATAAAAAAGCAAGACATAAAATTAAAAAGGCGTAAGTTGTTTCAATTTTTTTTGTCTGCTTATAGTATATTCGTGGATAAACAATTTAAAAGTATATTCTTTGTTGCATGAACACTATCAGCTAAAATGGAGGAATTATCCAAAGTCATAGCTGAATTGTTTAAAGCCCAGCAGTTGAGTCAAGCTGAATTATTCAAATCCCAGCAGTTGAGTCTGCAACAACAAAGTGAACAGGTTGCCTTATTAAGAGAACAACAATTAGCACAGCAGAATTATCAAGAAAAGGCAAGAGGAGTTGAGTCAGCAACGTCAAAGGGAACAGGAAGAAATGTATGTCAAGGTTTTGGAAATTCAAAAGTTAACATTGGAGAAATTAAACAACAATCAGGCAAATGAAAGTAACTCTTCATATTCTAATAACATCATATTTATTTCGTTGGAAACTTTCATCTATATGTGCCAGATTTAAGGAAAAACGTTTGAAGCGTACTTTAAAACGATATGAAGATATTTTCCACACAGACTGTGAAAACTGGTCCGAATTCAAGAAAAGTCAGTCTATTACTAAGAAAGCTAGGTACAGCAGAACATAGCAAATTTGTGAATTTTATTCTACCGAGAAGAACAAATGAATTGAATTCTCGAAACAGTGAAATTGCTAAAAGGAGTTGTTTGGAGCAAATATGTCGCTTTGGCATAAGCGATGGTTATGCATAATGTCGCTAAATCCGGCGATCAGGATTACTTAACTTATGCATCTATAGTGAATAGACATTGTGACAATTTCAGATTGGCAGATTATTACGGTTGAAGAATTCAAGTGTTTTATTTTTTGCTCAAGGTCTGGTATCCAGTAAAAGTGCCAAAATAAGACGTAGAGTTTGTCTAAACTTGAATCTGAACAAAACCTTACCCTGCAAAAGTTAGCAGAGGAGTGTCAGCGGGCCGTAAGTTTAAAGAAAAGAGTCTCAAAAAATTGAAGAAGCTGGTATTGCTTATATTAAAAAAGTGAAGAAACAGTCAAATTACCCATCAGAAAAAATTGGATTAAAAATTCAGCGTATTTTAAAATAGAAAAAAAAATTAAATGAAAAGAATGAGGAAGGAAAAAAAAATGGTTCGCCATTTAATTGTAGACGTTGCAACGAAAGACATTGGGAGGTAAATTGCCCATATAGAAATAAAAAAAATGTTTCGTATTGCCACAAGAATGGTCACAAAGGTCGTGTTGTAAAACGGAAAAAAAGTCAATAGCCGAATTAGTCAAACAAATTCAAATATCAAATCAGATAGAGATTTGAGGAAATATGTGACGACTGAAATATTTAAAAGAATATCAAATTTCAACTCGATTCGGGTTCAGATTTAACAATAATGAACTATAAAACATGGAAAATTTTAAAAAGGCCTACAATAATGAAGTCAACGAAATGCGCTCGAACAGTGACTGGAAAGGAAATTAAATTCGAAGGCGAGGTTGTACTTCCCATGAAATTGAACAGGATAGTTAAAAATAAAAGTTTTCATTCTGAAAAATGGAAAACTTGATGGGTACAGATTTTATTGAAACATTCAATTGTGGGATAAACCGTTAAACTCTTTCTGCAGAAAAGTAGAAAATAATACGCAAAACAAGACAGGACATTAATGAGGAATTAAAAAAAGTTTCCGAAACTTTCACACCTGGTCTTGGAAGATGTAACAAGTTTGAAGCCAAATTTGAATTAAAGGAAAATACTATGCCAATTTTAAAAAAGAAACGTAATGTGCCTTTCGCAAGTGTAGAGAAAATTAACGAAGAACTTGATAGGTTGGAAAAAATGGAATTATTTCAAAGTAGAATCTAATTCATGGGCTGCGCCCGATTGTGTGCATAAAAAAATCAAACCAAGTCAGAGTCTGCGTTGATTTTCGACAGGGTTGAACTTCGTACTAAGACTACCATTACCCGTTATAGGTCGGAGATTTTAACAAGCTAAATGGTGAGAAAATTGACTTATCAGATGCCTATCTCCAAATTCCCGTCGAAGAGGAATGTTCGGAAGTTACTGAGATAAACTGCATAGAGGGTTATTCAAGTACAACAGGCTTCCTTTTGGTATTAAAGTGGCACCTGCCATTTTCAACAAACTATGGACGTCATGTTTGAATGATTTAGACTTGCGTGTTTTTACTTAGACGACATCATAGTAAGGGCGAATCGTCGACGAACATCGAGAGCATCTCAATCAAGTATTTAAAAAATTCAGGACTTTGGTTTTAAAGTCAAAGAGTCAAAAAGCGAATTTGGTTTGGAGGAAATTAAGTATTTAGGCACATAATCAACAAAATGGGCAGATGTCCAGATCCGGAAAGGTCCATTGCGATTAGAGACATGCCGACGCCACTAATGTGGCGATGCTACAAAAGTTTTCTAGGGCTTTAAATTATTATCAAGCGTTCATTAAAGGAATGTACAATTTAAGAGCTCCGTTGAATGAACTGCTAAAAAAAGACAAAGGCATGGAATGGATGGTAGAATGCAGAAAGCCTTTGATGAAATAAAAGAAATGCTTACGTCCGACCTCTTTTAACCCATTACAATCCAAAACTGGATATTGTAGTGGCAAGTGACGCTAGTTCATACGGGATAGGAGCGTGTATTCAACACATAATGCCAGATGGTTCTAGAAAACCAATTGCACATGCTTCGAGAACTTTACTCCCAGGAGAAAAGTTACTCTCAAATCGAAAAAAGAGGCGTTGAGTATCATTTTGCCATAAAAATTTCACAGATACATCCACGCAGACATTTTATCCTTGAAACAGATCATAAACCACTGATCATATTTTTGGTTCAAAAAAGGTTACCTGTTTTATACGTCTGT